ATAGTATGGTGAGAGGCTGTCGTCTGCATAGTATATTGTGTCAGGCTTAGCTCAGAGAAAGCTACTCTCCCAAAATTTTCTCCTGCTCCCAGAGTGAGAGCTCTTGTCTTTGTGGAGTTTCTCACAACATTCCCTCCAAGTCAGAATGCATCTGGTACTTTGAAAATGTTTCCTGTGGAAATTGTTTGCTGATACCAACAGAATTCCACTTTAAATAATTTTGATTCAGAGAAAAGCTTTTAAACCTGAGTGTCCACTGCATACTTCCTTCTTACACGTGGGCTGATGAAGTTATAATGTGTCCTAGGTTGTACAGGAGTACATGGAAAGTTGCAAAAGAGTAGGATGCAGTGGATTAACTCTTAAAGAAAATAGTGCCATCAGAACTGAAATGTAATAGAATATAGTATATTTTAGTTTTCGTAGTACTTTCATTCTAGTTTTCATCACCAGGTTGGATGAGGCTTTGAGCAACCTGGTCTATGGAAGATGTTCCTGCCCATGGCAGGAGGGTTGGAACTGGATGATCTTTAAGGTCCCTTCTAACCCAAACCATTCCATGATTCTATTTCTAATTCAATATTCTAGTGTATTTTAATTCTGTAAATTATTAACTACTATATTACTTTATAGTATTAGAAAACTACAAAAGTGTTCCTGTATTACTTGCAAATGTGTTGTCCTGCAGTTCTGCCACAAAACATCAGAATTTTTTATTTGGTTGACGTGTTACTACAGAAATCCTTTTTTCCAGTTAAAAGAAATGTTAACTTAATAATTCTGAGAATATAGAAATCATTATACTAAAACGAGCAAAAGCTCACTAAATTGTAGAAAATTAGATTTATGGCAGATTATTCAGTTATGTGCATTGACTGTGGAATTCAGAATTGTTTCTTGAAGGATCACCAGCCCTACTGTAAAGAATCCTAGTGCCTTTGGCACCTCCTGAACTCAGTCTGCTTCAGTCTCACCCTTTCCCCTTGTCCTTATCTTTTCTCTTCACAAAGAGGCCAAAATACAGGAAACTGGCTGACTGAATAGGTAAGAGTATGACCTGAAGCTCATACATATATAAAAAGATATTACCTACATCTTTTCCTCACTATCCTAGGTGCATTCTGCAATCCCTTTCAAGTTTCAGATTTCATCTTGAGCTGATAAGGCACAAGGTCTCCTCTTAGCCTTTTTGGGAGACACTGGTTGCATTTACAGTGTCCTGCAAGATGACGTTTTCAGACACTGCTTGAACCACAATCGTGAAACAGCCCCATGCTGCCAATATGTGTACCTCACTGGGCCATGGGGGAAAGCATGCGGCTGTCACCTCTCTAAAAATGTTGTGACAGAACCAGGACACCCTTCTCTTCTCATTCGCAGGGCTGGCCATGCTGTCAGATCACTTACTGGAGCCCTTCCAGGAAGAAGGACATGTTACACAAGAACTCCACAAGAAATTCTAGATTTAGAACAACTATGAGTGTGTCTGCAACCAAATCAAAGCTTCCCTCACCCCACAGCCATCAATGAAATGCTGTTCAAGCGGATCAGCAGACAGTCTGAGACTCTACAGGCATACATCACAAACATTCACACAGTCCTTTGGCTTTCAGAGGCTGTTCCCCCCAAATACTGGCTAACTCACACTTTAATGATGCCGTCCAGTTGCTGGCATCATAAAAGCTGTGTGAGCCAAAACCACCTCGTGGCTGACCTTCAGCCAGCAAAGGTGCATCAGTTTTGAACCGACGGTAGCAGGGCCAGCATGTCACCATAAGAAAACACACAGGTTCAGTCACAAATAAAGCTCATCTTCACTTGGTTAGAAACCATTTTTCGTTCTGCTTTCCAGAGCAGGTTCTGCTTAGGCATTCAGACATACCATGTCTAGGAATATGTCTACTGGTTGCTTGACTGCAAACTGAAGAACAGAAATCCGTGTTTATTTCTTAGACAGATAATCCCACCCTACCTTCTTCCCACCCTCAAATCCTATTCTCTTCCTCATGAAGATCAGGCAGCTGAGAAATCTTGTAGAATCAGATGTTAGTGACTCCCTTTCCAAATTCCCTTGGCCCTGGTTCCTTTCTCGTGCAGTAGAGTGCTCTTATGCTGAAGAAAAAGGACTTTGTTGCCCATGTCTGTAGTGTTAGATAATGCCTTTAGCAAAGGGGACAAAGTAAGTCCTGGCAAGTATTCCTAGTCCTCAGAAGGAAGCAGGAACTGTGTTCTTGCTGCTTGGAGTCAGTGGTTCAGACAGGTGCATAATCTGATTGTACTGAATACAGTGAACAGATGTGAAAAAAAGTCCTTGGACAGTCTCCAAAGCTAACTTCAGCATAGAGCCAAGAATTTGGGTGTTGGAATGACCTGTCTGGCAAGATTGGAGGCAAGGGATGTATCTCTAATAGCCGTATGTGATGTACTGGGGGGTGGGAGGGAGGGCACGTTATGTGAGGGCAATTGCTGAATGTCTGGTCAAACACCCTCAGATGATACTTGGATGCAGATGGCCACAGCTTTCTCTGGTGGGGCTCAGTGTCACTTAGCATCAAATACTGTCAAATAATCAGTAAAAATATGGCATTGTTAGCCTGTTGATCCTTAACTCCTTTGGAAAGCTCCAGTTAAAGATGACGTTTTTGGTTTAAGTTGAGGGTTTTTTTCACTCTACCAGTCTCTTGTGAAGATGTGGGTAGCTGAGACCTGACTGCCTTCTTGTTTCAGAAATTCCAACTGAGTTTGGAGCTCTTGGGAGGAGAGTGAGTCCCTCTGGCCAGCCTTAGAAGGCTTTTAGTTGATTGTAGGAAACAGTGGAGAGGGGTGACATTTCTGAGGCCCAGGTGTGTTCCTGACAAAAGTGTCTTCAGTCCATCAAGTGCCATCAGATATTAGTAAAAGTCGTATCTTTACATATATTGGGCAGCGGAGAGCTGTCACAGGATGTGAATCCTCTAGATAGGTGAGGAACAGATCAAATGACACTTGAGCAGCATAGTAAGGCTCAAGAGATGATATTCCAATTGGGATGCTTTTGCCACAGCAGTAATAAGGAATGTGGATGTGGATGTGCTAATGTGAATGTGGATGTCTATAATAAATAATAACTGCAATTTGACAGCTCTGTGGCTTGGTCTTAAAGGTTATGCAGAGCTCTTTTAGCTATCCTTTTCTCTTTACTCCCCTAATTATATCTCTTGTAGAAAGAGAAGAAAACCAAAGTTTATGCGTGTTAAAACCCTCAGCATTACCTTATGCATCTCAGCAAAGATGGAAAGAAATCTCCTACAGGACGGAGAATTTTGTGAATGGTGATCGTAACTGTAACTTTATATATGGCAACTTTTCATTTGTGGTGTTGTACTACCTTTCTCTTTAACCAGGAAGATTATGAAAAGCCATAAGAAGCAAGCCTCCAGTCCTCTCCCTCTGTGCAGGCATAACTCCTCAAAACTTCCTCCTCAAATGTCATTCGAGAGCAAATCCTGGCTTGTCTACATCCAGCCTTCTTTCTTAACAGCTCCCTATTTCCACCTCTGGTTTTCAGAGATGCCAAATACGTTGTGATTTTCCTGCTCAAAAGACATTGCATGCCAAGCAATTCTTCCTAGCAGTGCTTACTTACCAGATGACTCAGTAACTTCTAAAAACTTCATGCTGCTCTTCCTTCCTCTCATCTTAGCACTGTGTAGTGATGCATATGCTTCTGGCATCTGTAAAAACACTGTATCTGCCTAACACAGCCAGAGCCTCCTTTAAACTCAAAAGCAGAAAAATGTTGCAGACATTCTTCTCTGGGGACGGAATTTCTCTGTGACAGAACACAGATAAGCCTCACTTAGAGAAGATAAAAAAAAAAAAATTCATCAAAGGAAAGTAACGGTGCTAGCAAAGATAGAAGTGGAGAAACAGTTGCAATGTATTTGGCAGAAGCCATTATTGAACAAAGAGATGATCATTGCAGTTCTTTGTTCACAGAGCTTCCCAGCTTCTGACTTCTTATGGGACCTGATCCTGGAATCTGGATGTGGCCTCTAGAAAGGAAAATAGAAAAAGCTGCCCACAGTACAGGCAGATTTACAGTAATTTTGTTTCTTCAGCAGAGTGTTTGTTCAAGTCTTAGCATTGAACTGTTAAATTGGACAACCAAAACCTGGAGCAAAGCATCTCTGCCAGCTTGTCTTTATGTAAACAGCTGCATAGAAATGCACCTTGATAAGTGAGTCCTAGTGGTGAATGTGCGTATGTGTGTCTAGCTAGGATTTGGCGGAAGGATGTTCTCCATATTGGCTGCTCTGTAAGTATTTCCCTGGTGAATGTGAGAGAATTTGTCTTCCTAGCTTCTAAGCAGAATGGTGTTACCAAGTAGAGTGGTTAACCTAGGTCTTGATATGGTAAATGATCTGATTAGGAAAACAAAACTAGTGTGTGACCGTTCAAGGCACATATACATGTATATAAGACAAGCTACCACGAACACAAAGGGGAAAAAAGTGGCTCAAGCCCTATTTCCTGTAGTGGTAAGGGCAGAAGACACATTTCATTCTGATGGTCAATTACTTCCATGTCAAACAGATACTATGATCATGAGGGCAGAAGTTAAATAGATTAGGGCAATTAAGCAAAATGTGCCTCAAAACATGCCTCACAGAAAAAGAAAGAATGATAGATATGTAGAATAAATCAATCTTCAGTCCCTCGTGTTTCGCTCAGAGTCAGTTTATGTCTTGTGACCCTATGTAAAGCTGAAGACATCAAGTGACTGAACCAAATTTGTAAGTAGTCCCTACAATTACCAACCAGTACAGTAGCTTCGACTACTGAGCAATTTAGAGTAAATCACTACGGACGTTAGTGAATTTTCATTAACACCCGCCCCTGCCAGCATTTTAGCAAGGCAGTCCAGTCTCACCCCAATGCAATAGTTTTACTGTGAAGTCTTATTTTTGTTTTAACCATGGTATTTCTATTGCACTATTTTTCAGGCCCTGATTATATCAAACAAAAATTTCAAGAAGGAATGGAGGTAAAAGAAAAATCTGAAGAAAAAGTTCAGGAAAAACCACCTACCCCAAAAGAGTCACCTCACTTTTATCGAAAAGGTACTACACCCCCTCGAACCCCAGAAGCAAGTCCAAGGCATAGTCCTCCTCTTTCTTCTGAGCCTTCTCCTTCACAACAACAGAAAAAGCAAAGCTCCACTTCTGGGGCAAGACTCAGTCAAGACAAAAAGCTTTTAGCTACTGAGAATATAACGCCTACAATTAACAAGCCTTTATATTCAAAAGCAGCAATGAAGGAGGAAGTAGCTGGGAAACACCAGCCAAAGTTTTCAGCCCATCACAATCCCATCAGCACAGAGAATGGGGAGCTGCATGGTCACTACCATGGTTATTATGTAAAAATGAATCCAACAGTGCTTCCACAGGAGCTCAGGGAAGAAGATGAATATGTCAACCCATCAGCGTCAACACTTGCACGGATACCACCCTCACAGAAGCCAAGTCCTGCTAGATCTGGGGGTAAGCCAGATGCCAAAGAAAACAAACCTGACACAAAAATTAAGAAACCAGAGTTTGCTGCACCAAAGAACCCAGCTAATAATGAGGCACATTCAGCAGTTGAAAAAGCAGTAGAAAACAGCTCGGTGAGTACCGCGAGAATCCTTTTCACTTTCACTGCCCTTTTGCCTCCTAGTGCTGAGCTTTGCAACCTGAAGACAGGCAAAGCCAACTTCTGTCAAATCTTCATCTGGATACGGTCTGCTAACTAGAACACACTATACCAGACTGGAGTCAGGAACAAATATTCTAGTCTTTTATAGTATCTTTTTTGAAAACTGGGAAGGGATAGTTGATAGCCAGGTACTGACAGACTTTTGAAACACGAATCCCTATTGCATCCATAAACACAAAAGTGTGTTAGTGTGAGTATGTGTGTGTATATATATATATATACACGTGCATTTTGTGTGCGTGTAGATACTTGCAGATATGCATATATATAATTCCCCTCAAAAAAAACAACCATGTTCATTGTACTTCAGTGGATAATTGGGCAGTACTGGGAGTTACACTCATGCTCTTCCCCAAAGGTCTGCTTTTGACTACCGTTGGAGGCAGGATGCTGGCCTGTGATCTGACCTGGTCCAGACAATCTCCCATTTTCCTTTACTTCTCTGTTTTGATTGTAGGCTCTAAAACTAGGCAATTTGCATCAAAATATAACTTGTTTTAAAATGTATATGTCTAACAATGCTTGTGGTTTACAGTGACATAAAAAATTTGACTTTCTTTTTTGTCAGGAATGGAGGAGTTTTAAAACTATACATTCAGATCAGTGTGAATCTGAATCTCATGATTATTTAGAAATAGTAGAACTACCAATAGTTATGCAGAAAAGGAGAGATGACTAATAGCATTACTATTCCATGTTAGAAGAAAAAGCCAGGTTGTGGAATTCAGAATCTATGATGATGATGGTAAAATTATTTCTGGGCCAAGAGAAACTCAGGAAAATGTTAGTTGTGGATTCTGAAGTTAATCTTTAGTGAATGAAGAGGTCTAGATAATCGTCATAATGTTCCTTTTTTGTAAACATTGTTTCTTTGAATCATTTTTGTTACTCCAGCAGAAAAAAAAAAAAGTGTGTCATTATTGATGGGATAGACAGAATGTTCTATTTAATGAGATCCAGATAGCCTAGAACTGATCTCAGGTGAAACAGTTAAATAGTTGACACCAGACTTCGTTAATGAAGAATTTAAAAATAAAGAGGTGTAAGAATTTCCAACCAACATGCATTATAAAAGATCCCGTAAAACAAGTTTGACATCTTCAGGTGTAACAAAGGGATCATATCCTCAATCAAGAAGGTCACTTTTACACAGTTATTTATTCTGACAAGGAAGCCAGAGTAATGCAAAGGCTGAATATCACCTTAAAATAATTTTTAAAAAATTGATTCATGGTTTTCAAAAATAACTAGAAAAATATCAGTAATTTGATATTCTGGTGAGATCATTCTTGGATTAATTCTACTGCTCTATTTTATTAACATCCTTACTAATGACACGGAAGAGGACATAAAAGTATTACCCATGAAGTTTACAGAAGACACCAGGAAACTGATAAATAATGAAGATAACGGATCACCAATACATGCTGATCCAAATGACCTGCTAAGAAAGATGCAAGCATAATTATCCATGTGCAGCACAGTAAAATGTAAGATCGTGTATTGAAAGACAGTTAATAGAGCCTGGCCATGCAGGATCAAAACTGGGAAAGGTCGGTGGATCAGGAGCAAGAGAGGCAACTGAGCATGAGCTCCCAGTCTGCTGCTGTTGTTCAGAGATGTTAATATAATCCTTAGATTTATCAACAGGAAAGATTAAGCAAGAGTACATGGGAGTCTGTTTTATCTGGTTTTGGCACTGGTGCAACCACTTCTGGAATAAAATGCAGTGTCCATAAATCAGGGATTTAAAATGAAAAAAAAAAAAACCTTAAGGGAAAGTCCTATGAAGAGCTGCAAGAATGATTAAAACATACCTTAAAATGAAAGATTCAAGGCAAAAAAAATCTGACACATAAAATCACTTTCTGTAAGTACACTTTATAAAATAGTTTCCCAAGCTAACAGAATGTGTAAGAAGATCCAACAGCTGGACAGATTTAGATAAAAGTCTTTTTTAAAGTTGCTTTTAATGTGTTAATTAAACGTAACATCAGCTTTCTGATGCCAGGTTTTTGGAGCTGTCACTGAATAGTTCGATAATGAGCATTTTGCCAAGATAATATCCTCTAGTTCAGCAGAAAATACTCTGTTTTGTGCGGATCAAAGTAGATGTTCACAGTGGTTTTGTAATCTGCAAATCTGTATTACAGCTGATATCGGCCCTTTAACCTTTCAAATCTCACAGATATGACTCCTATGTAGGGTAACACAAAGCTGTCAGGCTTGTAAACGTTGAGTGAGCATGCACGGAATGTTAGCCTGAATTGGAATTTTTCATTCAGCTCTGGTGAAAATAAGTGACTAGAAATGGTCCTTATTTTCCCTAAAATGCAAATCAAATAATGGTTTGGAGCTAAGGTCTTCACGTTAAGAAGCTAAGTAGGGCACCTAAAGAGCAGTTCATTGACCTTCTGGAATAATCAGAAGGACCATGGAACCTATAGCCTGGTATCAGGAAAGGTGGAAGAGTGGTGAGATATTGTAGATTAGCCGCTGTTTGTTTACTGATATTACAGATCATCTGGGAACTGTCCTTCTGCTTTGTTTGGAGCACACTAATTTCACTGTTCTTATTATCAGCATTTCAATAAGGAAGGAAGGTAGAGTTTAGGAACTTATTTTTAATATAATGACATTTTAAGATATATGTAGATGTATATGTTTTTTTCAAAGGTGTCTTCTGTATATGTCTATAAGTTTGCCCTTATAGAATAAATTTCTCACGTTTATTGCTTTAAAATGCTGAGATGAGTAAAAATCCTAAAACAATTAAAGCAGAAGGGAGTAACCTACTGGCCTAGCAGACTGAGGGAGAGAGACAAAATGACTGTTAACACTGCCTGGAGACTGTTCTTTTTAATTTTCAGCATCACCTTTCAACTTCAGAAAAAACGGTTTGTTTTTTTTTACCGTTCGGTGGTACTCCTGGAGACTGAGTTCAGTAGTGTGCTGGAGTTGCACCGTGGCTAACCTAAGAGTGCACAGTGAATGAGGAGAAGCCAGATTAGTGTACTTCTCTTTATCTCAAACACTTCTGAATGTTGAGAGACTTCAGAATTCTAGGGCTGCATTGAGAATTATTTTGTTTTAGTCAGTAATTGCAATTGCTTTATAGTCATCCCAACAAATGATTTTGTTGTGGTTTGAATGTAAATCTGCCTCAGATCTTCCATAAAAGTTTAAAAATATATTTATGAAGGAACGTAAAGAGAACTCTCAGTCTCAGGAAAAGAGAATGAGAAAACGTGTTTTTGGAATGCAAAAATCAATCTGCTCCATTTATTGAGTACTTTCATCAGATTATCCAAAACTGCTGTATAAAATTGTGCTGTGCTTTTTCCAAGTTTCCAGTGGCAATACATGAAGAACATAGATACAGAATGTAAGGTTTTCAGTTGTTCCTTCCATGTTTCTAAATCAAAGCCATTTCTCAAATCTGAATGAAACATAAACTTTTAATTTGGATTAAGAACTTTAAACAACTTTATTTACAGAAAAGTCTGCAGCAGCTGTTTTAGTAATTAAATTCATGTTTCCTATTTTCTGTGAATCTGTTACATCCTTAAGAGAGTCATTGAATGTCTTCTATGCAGTAAGTTAGTTACAGGAAGAGTATTGATTCTGCAGATGTCCCCATTTCTGACATTATACTTGAAAAATATCAGCGCATACCTTTTATGCTACACATATAAATGTGTTTATGTACTTATTTTCTAATTTTCAAAAATCAAAGTTTAAAATAATTTCAGAGCTCATAAGAAAGAGCTTTAGAATTCTCTCATAGTTTTATCAGGATGAAAACTTCATAAAGCACTATGACAAAGTCAATGTTCGTCAGCTGCTCCAAAATAGCTCTGTTTGCAGGCATTTACCCTAGTAAATGAGAGGTAAATCATCCTTCTTTTTTTCATGGAGAATTAGGCACCTTCAAATTACCTTATATTTATCACAGCGTGAAGTGTGCACAGAGACACTTGACCACAAACCAGTACTAACTGTTGTTTCTGATTGCTCGTTAGCAGCCTCTCGCCCCAGTATCAGCTTGCATGCTGCTATCCCACCTTGAATATGAGCTAATTTGAGATCGTCTTGGATTTGGATAAAAAGTAGGATTGAATTGCAAAAAAGTACCGTTGTAGCGTAGGTTCATGAATACCCATTTGATTTGCCTGATATGTGTCCATGCGTTGCCCTAGGTCGGGTACAATCCCAGACACAAGTGTTCTACCGTATTCTCATTTTTTGTTTTGTAGGTAAAGATTTTTAAGCCACACAAAATGTTTAGCCTGATTTTTACCTGTATCTAAAATCGTTATGGTTTGCTGAACGCTACTTACTGTGCTTCTAATCTCATCTCTTTGTTCACTTAACATCCAATGTTAGTAAGGGATAGAACTACTGTGATGTTAGAAAGATAGATCAGTATTTGCCTGATTGTAAAAGAACCCAGCAAGAACTTTGTGCTGAATTCCTAATGCAATGGGATTACAAGACTAGTCTTAATACTTCCTAGCACTACATTTTAGGAAAATAACTTTCTTCCCTCCCCAATTGGAAACTAATTGTATGATTCTATTTTTAACTACGTCAGTGGCTGACTGACTAGAAGCTGCAAGGACAGTTTTTCAGCAGGCTGGAGTTTTTTTTCTCTTACAGCTTCTTTAGTGCACCTGTTCTAGTCACTCTTTAGACTGTTCAGACTAATTTTGGCATTTGCTATTTTAAGCCCTTGCAGGACACTAAAGTCTTATTTATGGTATTTATCTTAAAGCATTAAATGCTCATTTCACAGGTGTCTACAAAACAGGTAGTAGTTTATTGCATAATAACCGTGTGTTCCACAAATACTGTTTGATCATTTTTCAGTGTATAAGGAAACTGCTTTGGGCTGAAAGTTGTAGACATCAGAAGAGGAAAAAACCACACGTAGCAAACTAAAGAAGATGAGATTTACTTCTTTATGTAAAGCATAGACTCATTAGATTATTATCATAAACAGATAACACATTTTTCTTTGATCTTCATATAAAATCAGCAACCCAGTTCTTCAGGTGTCACTTTCTTCTGCCTTTGTAGGTGAGATCTCTTGGTTCAGACTGTAGCCCCTAGTTTTTTTAGCCTAGTTTATCTAATGTGATTGTGGTGAGATTGTTAACACCTAACCTGACTGACAGATGAGAAGTCCCCTCCCCCTCCACCAAGCTTAATTGTGCAAAACTGTGCACTAATGATACTGAGTTGCTGTTTGAGCTGCAGTCTCCACTTGCCATTCAGCCAAAAGTTGTCTTGCAGCTATCAGGATGCTGTTTCAGCATATATTTCAGGTAATAAATGAGTTCCTGGCTCCTATGAAGTCCCCATAGGTCCAATTTTTTCTTCAGTAGTAGTAAATCAAATTGATTTCCATAGATGTTATTTTTAAATATGCAAAGTGTTAAGTGGCCAAATCCCAGTGAATTTTAATGGTATGAGGCAACGATCTCCTTCATAGTTCCTTGCAATTCCTGGTGCACTATAACTGTAAAATCTTTAGGTGGGGTCCCAAAAAATAAAGGAACTATTGACCTGAATTTGGACACACAGGGAGTCCCCATTAGAATCATAGAATCATTTGGGTTGGAAAGGACCTTAAAGATCATATTAGTCCATCTCCCCTGCCATGGGCAGGCACATGTTTCACTAGATCAGGTTGCTCAAAGCTTGGTCCAACCTGGCCTTAAATACTTCCAGGGATGGGGCATCCACAAATTCTTTGGGCAACCTGTTCCAGTGCCTCACCACTGGAGAGAAAGACACTGAATCCAAATCATAGTGGAAATTGATAATGTAATCACACTTCCTGTTGAGAGATATGTAACGTTAGCATGTACGTACTACTCTTGTTCGCCATGAGATTTTGGGATTAGACTCCCGAGAGATTTAAGGAGTGCTTGACATAATGTATTTTGTGACTTATTCAAGAATTGAGCAGTCTGTATCTGGCCTGCCATCTCATCTACTGTGTAAAGGTGTGTTCTGGTAGAAGGTGTTTAATGAGACTGTTTCAGGATGAGACCATGTGATATAATAATGACACAAGTACTATTCAATAGCTTCCCAGTTATGCTGCTGCAGCAAATTAATAATAGCAAGTTCTGACACCTTAGCATTCCAGAATTTATATAGCTAATGTTAGCATTGTCATGAAGCATAGTGAACTTTTGCAAGGCATGCCTCATGTGAAAAGTGGAAAAAATTAAGTTATTTCTAATGAAATCTATACCTTCTTATGCAAGCTAGTGATCCTTATGTAGCTCAGAAGATAGTTTTCTGCAGAGATTTTTTTGGTGGGCTTTTTTGTGATTTAGTGTTGTCCAAGTGAGGAGTTTTTCTGTTTCTACTTACAGTAAATGTGCAACTTTAATATATATAAGCATGTACAAATCCCTGCAAAAATATATTGTAGTAAAGAGAATTATTTAATTTTTTTTGAGAAATTTTTCACTCAGAGAGTGGTGAGGTACTGGAACAGGTTGCCCAGAGAAGTTGTAGGTGCCCCATCCCTGGAAGTGTTCAAGGCCAGGTTGGATGAGGCTTTGGGCAACCTGGTGTAGTGGAGGGTTTCCCTGCCCATGGCAGGGGGGTTGGAACTAGATGATCTTTGAGGTCCCTTCCAACCCTAACCATTCTATGATTCTATGAAACCAGATACGTTAAGAGGAGCATGGAAGAACTGAGAATTTTCTTCTGTTCAGGACATTATTTCAAGTTGCTCATCAGAAAGCATCCATGTTTAAAAAAAATTTTTTTCAAAACTACTGCAAAGAATTAAAAACTTTGTTCCCTGGCTTCACAGAAAGAAAACTTGATCATTATGTAATTTCAGTCTAACAAGTTTAGCTCTAGCAAGGAAAGGAAGTAGTGGTTTGACTTTTCATTTCTTCACTAAATACATCTATAAAATTAGGATTTATGACTACTAAATGTCGGAGTAAGTCAAAGCAAATTTGTAGTTTTGCAGGTGTAAAAAGGTCTTTAATCTGTAATGGAAACATTGCTAGGTGTGTTAGTACAGTGGTAAGTAACTTTTTTTTTTCCCTTTAATTATCAAAAAAAGGGAATACTTTTCATACAACACATTGTCATGCAAAACCCTTTTTCTGTTTTGAAATGGGTTGGAATCAGGGAAGGACCCTACTCTAAGGGTGATAAACAGTGCTCCAGCTTTCCTAAAGTAGTTCAAGTTCTTTGTTTTGCTTTATTTTAAGCTGATACTGGTTTTGTGTTGATGGGTTTGTTTTCATTTGTTTTATGCAGTCGTATTTGTCAGATGGTTTAATCTCGGTGTGATTAAGACTAGTATCTTCTCACCTGTATTTATCCAGCTGGTTTTCACACAGATGATATTTTGCTCACCGGAATACAACAGATAATGGCTATGTTTCAGGAGCAGAGTCTATGTCTTGAATGTTTAGGTAATCTTTCAGAGCAAGGTCAAAACAGGTAGGAATTGATAAAGTCAGGTCACGTTCATTGCTGTGCACTGTGTGGAAGGTTGCATTAATTCTGATATCTTTATTTTATTTTCAGGGCCCTAACTCAGTCATGATCGCCCTGGTAATGCTGTTGAATATTGGTTTAGCCATTCTTTTTGTCCATTTTCTAACTTGATTGGAATTAGGAAAGGTAAGAAAGGTCTTGTTTTCATATAAAAATCACCATATCCACCCCACCTCAAACAATAAAGATTTGATATCTTTGCATACTTTTAATGTTCCCTACTTTAATTTTAGCTATGCCTGAATGTGATTCAACATAGTTATTTAATAATGTAACTGTTTTGACCCTTCAGTGAAGTCATGACAACTAGTGGTGTTAGCCCACAGTTCTCTGCAGTTGTGTCATCAGCCTTTTAAATGGCACCTGTCATACTCAGACACAGGGAAGGAGGCTTGGAATTAGGATGGGACGCAAGAGAGATGAAACTTGGAAAATTCAGCCAGGGGCCAAGATCAGTTTCTCTGCTGATGGCTCGTGGCTTTGGGGTCCTCTGAAAGCTGAAGCAAGCAGCCATGTTGGAAAACAAACGAAATAATCTGCTGAAGCAGCCCCGCCAGTGAAGTGCGTTGGCTTCTCCATCTGTTCCAGCAGAGTGTGACTAAACTGGAAATGTACGGAGCTGCACTTTTTGTTGATGGAAGCTAACAGCTGCCTTACTATTTTACCGTCTGATGTTTTTAGTGGGGAGATGGGAAAACGACTGCCAGAGGAATGTGGTCAGAGGATTCTGTTGCTGTGGAAGTGGTTCCAGCGTTCACTCCTATCTCATTAGAAGAAATAGTTAGCAGCATCAGTCACCAGTCTTATTCCATTACCTGCTGCTTTTAACATCTCCTGCAGTGTTCTGGGAGATCGAATTTCATTTGCCTGTGCATGATTCTGTTCATTCGTTGTTTATGAAATTTGATGTATAGCCATAACTTAGTGTCTAGTCCAACCTGGAGAGAGCTACCAGTTCTGCCTAGCAGCAGAAGCAGAAAATGAAATCGTTTTTTCTAGTCTGAAGATAAAATTCTTAAATTCATTTTCCTAAACCTGAAGAGCCATTTTGCTTTGAGGTTTAGTAAGTAATATACCATGACTGCAAAATTTAAAGATGTTGATATCTTCCTGAAAGTGCTCAAACGCTTATGCCAATAGCAAGGAAAATTTTTCATGATAAAAGAATAAGAATCTGAAGTTGATATCAGTACGTTCTAAACAGGAGGTGGAATATCAGAATAAACCAAGAAGGATGAGCTACAGGGTTTGCATGTTGACTTTTTTCTTTTTTTTTTTTTTTTTTTTATGCTGTGGTAATTGGTGATTTGAGTTATTATGTTTCAACACTGAGGTATTTTGCCAGCGATTAAAATAAAGTCTTGTCTGAGTGCACATTAATGCCAATGACAGTTAAGCTAGCTAATGCTCATAATAAATTACCATGATTTAAAATACTAGATTTGTGTTGAATACATTCAGGTAGAGCGTTTAGAAATGTTAAGTGATTGTTTATCGATTTGATGCCTTCAGTGTCTTCAAAGTCCACTTATAATTTTACCTCGGCATTAAAAAAGCCTCAAAATTTTTCATTTGGAAAGTTTGTCTTAAGTAGTTTCGCAGCCCTTTGTTCAAATGATGTGATCATGTTTCTTTTTATGTGCCATTATACTGTAATTATTGTACCCTATATTACTCAAAAGCATGCTTATTTACTGAAAATACGTGGTGTGGTCATTTGGCAAGTAAATATTTTAATTTAACGCTACAAAAAGCAAAGGGCTTGTATTATGGTTTATTTTATCTCTATTAGAAAATCTTTCATACAATATGGGTTTTGAGCCTGTTTGTAAACTTTCTAAGTGTTTGCATGGTTTAATGGGCAACATTCTTACGAAGTACTTTAGCTATCTTTTGATGCCGCGTATGAAAGCAACGTAGGTGTGAACTGAATATTGTGCAGCGAAGCAGCTCCGAGCAGGGCAGTAACACCATGGTGTTTTTTACAGAAGTATGTTGAGAATCCTGTGTTTTGACCAGTGTGGATAAAGAAGAAAGCAGAAAGAGAGCAAATGAAAATAAAACGTGTATATTTATTTTTTAAAGAAGTTTAAATTGTGTTTAAATTTAGAAAAGCAATTTTTAAATAAGAACAAAATTTTAAAAGTTACTGTGTAAGCCTTGACATAATGGACAAAATGTTCCATCCAACAGTGAAATCGCCCCCCATCTCCCTACGTGGAGAGGTAATTTTGTAACTGACGTATTTAATTCCTATTAAATGTTTATTTAAAATACTTTATGCTCTGGAAATAATGGGTAACAACGCTTATGAAAATGTTTATAAATTTAAGTAAGCATGTTAGTACCATTTATAAATATGTATGATTTATAAGCTTTTTTAAAACAAAGCTCAAACAAATTGTTGGTATTTTTCTAAAATGTGCACAGCTGTATTTTACATGAAAGGCTATTTATAATTGGTTGTTATACTGTACACTACATTTTGGACAGCACAATGAAACCTGCCAATGTACTTAATAATGTCATTTTGTCTATTTAAAGTTTCTTGCTGTCAAAGAATGAACTCTTTATCTATGAGTTTCTCTATTTATAATTCTTGACCCAAAATGTACAATGTACAGTTTTCACAACTGTATTTGCTCTAATAAAAATAAGTTGGTTATTAATAGAGTTTCAGACTAGTTTTTCCTGTTTATGAATTACTTTGTTCGCTCTCTGGAAACAATTTTTCTAACGAATTCAATAAATGAGGAGCAAGGCAGGAAAAGGGGCAAAGTCCTGCCCCCTTGGAAATCATTGTGTGTCACTTTTTTCAACAACATGATCCTGGGAAACAATTTAAAGTGGGGAAAAAAGAAAAGAGGAAGTAAGTTGCCTCATGTGGCTTCTTTTATCTTCTGATACAGAATTTTGATATCTTTATAAATTTAGTATCTTAAATTATACTCCCACTACATGGATGGTTTAATCAATCTTGTTTTAATCAGTGAGTGACTGGTCCATTAACAACTGTTCCTGTAAGTGAATCAACAACTGGTTTAGACTTCCCTCCTTCTCGAGGTCTTCATAGGTTCAAAATTAACATGAAGTTTGTGAGTCAATATTCTACACACAGAAAATTCACCATTACAGCTGTCTTAAAGCCACCACATTTGCTGAACAAGTAAATTAGCTGAGAATTTTATTTTCTCCAGTTCGGGTTACTAGCCAACTGTACTGAAATCCTAATGTTTGGTTGAAAAGGAAAACAAGTGTTCTGAGTAGTTCCTATTTAATGGAAACAGATTTTTTAGGAAGTAATTGTTACTATCTCGTTCTTTAAAATAATTCTACCAGCACGAAATTTAACTTGGAGAATTTGCGTTTTCTACGCAGTAACCCACTCCCTAAAGAAAATTTTTGGCACTTCAAGTAGAGAAAAATACATTCTCAAGAAAAATAAACAGAAATAACTACAACGCCAGAAGATTTTAAAGTCAAGTTCACTGAGACGGCTCTTCACTGACATTTTGTGATCCACGTTGTAGAACATGTTCAATAATGACAGTAAATTTGACATGAAATATCTCTTAAGTTCTGTGAATGTGATAATATACTGAGGCGTATATAAACCTTAACAGCAACAAGCAAAGAATTTGTCCAGAAGTAGAAGAAAAAAAAGTTTTCATAATCAGCTGAGAAAGAAATATGACAGCTTTCCCTGCCCATCAGTGTTCATAATTCTCTACAATCAATGTGTATGTAGAAATATAACATTTTTTGTATGGTGTCTGAAAGCAGATGGACATTTCTCCTCTGAGGTGTTTTTACCAGTGGTTTATGTCAATTGTAAACAAATGGATTATGTGGGAATGCATCCGCTGTGCCTAAGGGGGGAAAAAAAAGCCATGGATGCACAATGCAACTTGATGCTCCAAGTTTTGCTCTAGCATGGAAATTTTTACCTCACTTCAGTGCAAGGAAAGATTTTTTCCAGGCAAAGTAGTTTCTCCTGGCACAGTTGTGTTTGCCCACAGATGCCAGTAGGCAAAGTGAGCTCTCACCTTGGAATGTGAGATCTGGTTTCTTGGGCAACTCCATTTATCTGGTTAAACAATATACATAGCGTATGCCGAAAACCAGCAAGTGAATTATGCTGAGGTGCTAAAGGCTGAAGAAAAAAAAAATCATCTGTTGTCATTGGGTTTTAGTGCATCTAATCCTTTCTTGAGATAGTATATTTATAGTCCTTACTTTACCTTCCCCTCAGAAAAGTAAGGAGCACAGAATGTGGTATCTTTTCCATTTGCATTCCAAAAGGAGATATTCAGTTTGAAAGCAGAAATTTCGTGACATATGACTACAACTTGCCTCTCAGATACAGACATATGTTAGAAAAAACCTTTAATACAACCGAGTGCTGACTTCTAAAAGGAATAAACGCCTCTTTACAGGCATTTGATTAAAAGTCTTGAAATAATTATTTACTTAACTTTCAATGACACATTACATATCTATTAAACGCTCTATTAAGATACAGTTGCAGAATATTAAAAGATTCTGACAGCAATGTGGATGCAATGATAAAAGCCTGCAGAAATTCACTACATATTAAGCTACAGTAACATTCTTAGTTGTTATTAATAAAACATGGTTGTGAATTATATCTAAATGGTTTTACTCATCGCTCATTTGAACCATTTAGTCAGGGGAGACAGTTCTACATACCGTTCTCCTATGGAACCGTAATTTGCTAAACGAAGCAATGGAAGAGAAGGGAAATTAAATAAGCCTTTCAAATTAAATAGTCGTCTCGTTGTCTCATTTGATATTCACAGAAACAGGAAAAAATAGAAATTATGTTAAATATGAGCAAGAAGCTGTGTATGGCAACATGCTGTAGCTGAGCCATCTACAGTATCCATCACATTTTTTTCCTACTGGATGCATAAACTGCAAAATAAGAGATATTACACCTCCTACCATTGTAGGAGGTAAATGTAATTTCCATACACAGCATCTTTAAGAAAAACTGTCTATAATGTCAATGGCTTTTAGAGGTGAAAAATCCAAAAGCTTCATTTATCTAAACAGACTATGTTGTGAACATCGCTGTAACAGCAGAACAGATCCCTCACCCCCATAAAACCAATAGCAAAAATGAAGCTGGTAACAGAATCTGTTAAAATCTCTCATGTTTTCTTTCCTTTTGTTTGCTGAGGAAAAAAAAAAAAAACAAACACGAAAACAAAACAGGGAACAGACAGCTTTTTTTTAATCTGATAATCTAAATTTCATAATGTCAATATGTGTTTGTTTCAGCTAATGGTTTTCACAATCTCTTGGGACTGGTTTTCTAGGAGATTTTAGGTGCAAAGTGACAGTATATTGAGTGCCATTTCTCCAAGAGGAAGGTTTTGAATTTTTTTCAGTGATGCAAAAAGGACAGGATTTTCCTTATCACCCCTGAAATGGTTTTGGTTGTATTTTTTCTGTGCTTCCAGTATTTTTGAAATTACCTTTTATCCTCCAGTGCCCACCCACCCTGCAACTCTAGCAAATTCCACTTACTCTCCTTTTCCCACACGGTCATTTGCCCCCATACTTCAGCCACTTATTCCAGTAACTCATGTTTTTTCTGTTGGGCACACTGGTTTAAGCAGCGAGTTTATAGCTCACTATGGCTATGGAAGCCGTCTCTCTTGTGGTTTGTGCTACACTGAATTGCTCGTGCCATGTCACAATTTTCCTTTGGTCCAGTTTTCTGCATATTGTGGATGCTGGTTTATGCAACTGATTCCAAATCTACACTCACCGTCTCCAGTATCAGAACAGTGATTTAAACACAGTGTGTGGGAATTGAAGAGAAAAGAAAATTCGTAGAAACCAACGTCATGTTGTCACCGTCGAGGGAAAAATCTGGTATCGACTGGGTTAGGAACTCCACTACAAATGTCTGCGGTAAGATTGTGAAAAAGACTGGCCATACAGCTGGAGCTGATTCTCAGTTCAGAAGACCAAGGAGTCCTGTTGAGGTTTGTGATTTACTGGGATGATGTGGTACGATGATGTCTGAACTTGATACGCAAACGTGGATTGCTAGATGGAATAAAATACATCCTGTGTTGGAAATTTGGTTTTGCTCACTTGCCTGAGCTTTTAGTTGTCTTCCTCCATGTCTTGCGCTGATTAATCACACAGCTCTATGGAAACTGAGGCACATACATTTAGACAAGGGCTAGATAATACTTTCATAAATGACTTCAATGTTAATTAAGGAAAGAGCAATAAATGACGGAGAGGTGAATTATAGGCTTCAAGCTGTAGGTTTTGAACTCTTGCTTTTCTTTATGCTGACTTATCCAAATTGGAAGAAAATACAGAATATACTCAAAGAGTAGAATTCCAGGTGTTATCTTTCACAATAATAATTTGTATGGTAATCCATGACAGTACCTGAAATCCTTTGACTTCTCTTTCTCGTATTTCCAAATTGTGGTTCACTGAGTAGCAGCTTGGCAGAGGCATTGTGTTAGACCACGAAAGACAGATCTTGACCAAGATTTTTGAGAATGGCTGCCTATATTTGAAGTTCTTAGTCTATACTTAAAAGATCCAAGTTTAAAAATTTTCCAACTCCTGAACAGCTCACAGTTACTATTCAAAGACATTTGTGGGGAGGGGAAGGAGGGAAGCAGGAGGAGATGGGGCATTACGCTGAAAACTGCAGCCTATGAAAATGTTGAATCTGGCATACAAATTTGCCAAAGGTTGAAAGCATTTAGATCTGGATTTTGGATCAGCTGTTGGAGCTACAGACTCCCACTACAGTGTGGGATTTCAGTCAGAATCCAAATCTGGGTCTGATTCCAGGGACACACAGCTGAAATGCTTCAACTGGGAGTGCTTTTAAAGAAGGAGAGGGAAAAAGTTAGTTAAAACCAGGCTGCAGTAACTCTGGGTTCATTAAACCATTATGTTCTGTACTTCTGGAACAGTGTCATTAGCTGTATTTAACATTGCAATTTTACTACATTCAGGACATGTTCCACAGAATACCTCTGAAAGTATCATAATTTAAGATAATGGTGCTTAATTACTTATCCATTTTTAGCTGCGAATTACTTTTATCATGTAATACCACCCAGTCTTCAAAAATGTTGTAAACTGCCTTCCATTTTAATTATGACAGTTCTAGATTTTGCTTAGGCCACTGATGAGAAAGTCACGAAAGGATGGGATCGGCTACCATGGAAACGGTGAAAGCAGAAGAGCACCAGCAGCATTTCTTAGGGGCTAGGACTAAAAAAGACATTCTGCAATGAGAAGGTAATTGAAAGGCATTTACATCACAGTGGATGGCTTCCATGCATTCCTCCCATGCCAAGGCAACACATTCCTTGCATAGATTGCAACAAGCCTCCGCCTGCACCCATGGTATACAGCAGAACAGGATTGGGAACGAATATTTAGGAACAAGGAGGGACAGACATGTTGAAATCGAAAACAGAAAAGAGTAGAAAGTATGAGGAAAGGGAAGAAAGTGAGGGGAAAGGAGAAGCCATGGAGGACCTATAGGGTTTAAAGGGAGGGAAAGGGACTGTTCGTTATGGAGAGGAAAAGAATACAAAGGAAATGGACTATATCAGACACAGAAGAAACTGAAGTTTGTTAGATGGGAATATG